CCCCCCCCCCAGCCATCTAGTCAATCACCAAATCCTCCTAGTCTCACTTCAGAAGTGTCCCTCAGACCCATCCATCCGCTTCCGCTTCCGGGGTGAGCCATAGCCTTTCCATGTGTCCCTTCTTTTACTTCACCCTCGCTTCTCTGCCGGGCAAGTCGCCGGCCATGTGTAAATGTCACTCTTCCACATCACCCAGGTCCCCACCGCGCAGCCACCAGCCCAGGAAGCCCTCCCCGGTGCATCTGAACAGAAGAACTTGGCCTCTCATCTTGTCCCAGAGTCCTTTATACATAGTTTATTATAGCACTTATCACTCTGTACTTTGTGCTTCCCTGCACAGCCTCCGCTCCCGTCCTTCTCTCCCCCGGCACACCAGCTACTCAGGAACAGGTGTCCCACGTGAGTCTTCCTGTCTCCCAGCACCTGATTGGTGCCTGGCACGTAGTAGGGGTTCACGTTGTTTCAGTCAATGTCGGCAGCTAAGGAAGTCTAAAGTTAACCCATTTCTTTTCTCTTTGTGCAGAGATTAGTGCCGAAGAGCAGCTAAGGCTCCTGCAAGAGGAGAAGCTTTGCAAAATCTGTATGGATAGAAATATTGCTGTGGTTTTTATTCCTTGTGGACATCTGGTCACTTGTAAACAATGTGCTGAAGCAGTTGACAAATGTCCCATGTGCTACACAATCATTACTTTCAAGCAAAAAATTTTTATGTCTTAATCTAACTCTACAGTTAGGCGCATTATGTTCTTCTCATTACCCTGATTGAGTGTGTGATGTGAACCGACTTTAAGTAATCAGCATTGAATGCCATTAACATTTGCTACCAAGTAGACAAAATGTAAAGTACGCTGCTCTAGTTTGTAATCTAAAATATGAATTTCTGGATTGGATTTGGGGGAGATATTAGCTATGTTATATATCTTATTTTTTTTACTGTTATTTAATTGAAAGCTAGGCTAAGCATCGTATTGTAACTGACTGCAGTGTGTATTTGTAGTACACTAACTTGGTTTCTAAGTGTAAGTGAATTAATCAACTGAATTTCTCATTCTTTTCATATAGGCTTAACAAATGGAGCATTCTGTGTAAACGTGGAGATTAGAGTTAATCTCCCCAATCACATAATTTGTTTTGTGTGAAAAAGGAATGAACTGTTCCACACTGGTGGAAAGATAGAGATTATTTTTAGACGTTTGTCTTTGTGTTTTAGGATTCTGTCCATTCTCTTTTAAAATTACACACACGTGCTTGGGTGGGTGATTTTAAAAAATGATTTTGCCATTGTCAAAAGGGTATTTAAGGATAGAATAGCATGTAGCCAACACGTACTGACATGGAAAGATGTCAGAGCTACATTAAGTGTAAAAGGAAGTGGCAAAACACTATGTATAGAATGAGCCAGATGAAAGTGTGTGTGTTTTGTATTTGTATAGAACAAAAGATTTGAAAAGATGATGCATCAAATTGTTAATTGTGGTTTCTCTTGATGGGAAGGGGTGGGTGGGGGGGTGGTTTGCAGGGGCCTTTCACTTTCTTTTTTTTTTTTTTTCATTTTGTTCTGTTTGAATTTTTTATAAGTATGTATTACTTTTGTAATCAGAATTTTTAGAAAGTATTTTACTGATTTAAAGGCTTAGGCATGTTCAAACGCCTGCAAAACTACTTATTGCTCAGCTTTAGTTTTTCTAATCCAGGAAGGCAGAGCAGTTAACCTTTTTGGTGCCAATGTGAAATTTAAATGTTTTTATGTTTTTTCCTGCTTTGTGGATGAAAAATATTTCTGAGTGGTAGTTTTCTGACAGGTAGACCATGTCTTCTTCTCTTGTTTCAAAATAAATATTCCTGATTTTGTAAAATGAAATATAAAATATGTCTCAGATCTTCCAATTAATTAGTAAGGATTCAGCCTTAATCCTTGCTAGTTTAAGCCTGCCTAAGTCACTTTACTAAAAGATCTTTGTTAACCCAGTATTTTAAACATCTGTCAGCTTATGTAGGAAAAAGTAGACGCATGTTTGTACACTGCTTGTAGTTAGAGTGACAGCTTTCTGTGTTGAGGTTCCCATATCGTCTTGTATCTTAAAGTTTCATGTGCGTTTTTACTGTTAGGATAATTAAGATGTATATAGGACAAAATGTCAAGTCTTGACCTAATTGTTTTCTTTTCTTGATTAGTAATAGTAGTGGATACTTCTGAAATGTTCTCTCAAGATCCTTAAAATCTCTTGGAAATTGTACAATATTGACAGGAAGCGAGAATACTTGCTTAAATCTTAAAATAAAACTTGAATAGGAGTCAATATAGATAAAAAATGGAAGTTTAACAGTGCTTCCTAGAACACCCGGGGTTTTCTTAATAGGATTCTTAAACTGACCTGTCACAGAGGTGAGTGAGGCATTTTACTGCAGAGAAACATTTGAGAGTGAAATTTCAAAGTTCTGTTTTCATTGTATATTCTAAGAGAAAGAATACCGTCATGTTCTCCTAACCTCTGTCGATGACAGTTTTCAGTGATACTCATTTAAGGCATTGCGAATTTCAGTGAGAACTTTTTAAATTAAATACTGACTGCCCTGTTCTTGTTCCGTTGTGTAAGTTCCCACTTCTTTACCTTCTGCACATCCTCTCAGGTGTAGTTATATACTCATTAAGTTAAATTTTACATATGTAGTCTAAGCTTGGGATTTAAATGATAAGGGGAGAAAAGTGTTAACGTGTTTTAAATGCATTTTCCAGAACGTGTCAGCTCCGAGGCAGGTAGTTAGTTCAATCTAGTTGTTGGCCAAGGACTGAATTGTTTTAACATAAGGCTTTTCCTGTTCTGGGAGCCTCAGTTCATTTAAAACTCTTCTTTTTAAAACTTGTATGTTTAGAGTTAAGAAAGACCTTTTTTTTCTCCCCGTGAGCTGTGAAATGTAATGCATGAAGCTGATGTGGCTAACAAGTTTATTTTAAGAATTGTTTAGAAATGCTGTTGCTTCAGACCCTGAAATCACTCCACACTCCAACTTCTAATCAAATTTTTTTTAAAGACTTACCGATGTTTGTGTTCTCACTATAAAAAGCACTGGATCCTTTCCATCCGGTTGTGCAAAAAAAATGATCACTCGCAAGGTCACAAATCCAACCAGATCCAAATCTGTGCCTCCCCTTTCCCAAAATAGGTCTCCATATCTACATGTAGACATTCCTTTTCTGCTCTAGAGTCCACGCTAAAGGTTAAGAAGTCACCACCTATTTTACTACATTTCAGTCACGTGAAGAGTCAAGTTGTTCCGTGATAAGTAGTTCTCTTTATTCGTAATAATTTGGTGTGCTGATCAAAAGCCTTGTTTCAATTTTTGAAAAATGGGTTTAATGTTTATAAAGTAAACTCCCAGTTTCTTAATTAACGGTTTTGTATTGCCTTCACTGCTAAATTTGGATTTTTTGGGTTTGTTTTCCCTTTTGACTAGGGGCTGAGGTGGGGTAGGGTGGGTGTAATGGGTGTGTATAATATGATTTGGCCCTGCATGTTATGATCTTGTTTTTGTTGTTACATTATTTAAATCTTGGTGGTTCTGTTCCCATTTTCATTCTAGTGGATAAAATTGGAATTTTGAGCTCTCTGAATGGAGACTGCCATCACGCCATTAGTTGCATGTGTGGGACTCCTTAGGCCCAAATCATCGATTTGTGTCCTGATTACCCAGGTGCTGAATAGGAGGGGGAAGGGGTGGAGGAACGGGAGAGCTAGGGTAGGCTTTTCATTTCCCCTAGAGAAATAAGAAAACGAGAGGGGATATTTGACAGAGGTAGTTATTTTTAGCCAACTCTGCTGTAAAAAAGAGCTGGGCGCTGGGGTGGCTCAGGCAGTTAAGTGTCCGACTTTCAGTTTCGGCTCAGGTCATGATCTCACGGTTTGTGGGTTCGAGCCCCGCATCGGGCTCTCTGCTGACAGTGTGGAACCCTGCTTGGGATTCTCTGTCTCCCCCTCTCCCTGCCCCTTCCCTGCTTGCATTCTCTTCTGTCTCTCAAAAATAAATGAACACTTTTTTTAAAGATTAAAAAGAGCTATTTCTTCCCCTATCTTACAAAATTATGAGAGTTCAGGGGAGACTGTGTATGTAAAATACCTGCTACAAATGTTAATTCCCTTCCTAGCACACCCTCGCCCATCATGGGTTTGCCTTGACTCTGGAAATTTGGGCCACCGCTTAGATGATAACTCTTTCAGTGACTCTTAACTCCTCTTTTTTGGTGTTTCTCATAGTTAAGATGTAAATTATAATAAATAGGTCAAGTCCTTAAAAATATTTAAGTTCCTTTTTTAAAAAATTTGAAAAAACTGTTCTTATCAAATTCAGGTGAGCTTTCCTAATAGAAACAACTGGCTTATTCCCACTTTCATAATCAGTTTCAGTTTGACTCTTGTACACTTAGCACAATGTGAATTTCATTAGCGGCCTAATAGAATCATAGAGGGTCAGAGCTAGAAGTGACCTTAGAGAGTATCTGATTCATCCCCCTCATTTCACAGGTGAGGCAGCTGAGGCTCAAAAGTGAAGTGATTTACTCAAAGCTGTATAGCTAATTAGTGGCAGCCCAGACTGGGACATAGTTTGAAGGTGAAAAACTTCAAGTTACCTCTCCTGGGAGGTCTCAGATGTTTATTTTTTCAACTCTTCTTTCTTCTATACCGTAGCTTTCACTACATATTAAATGACACTTTATGACTAATACCATAGGACAATCTTAAATACATATATCTTCAAATTGTACAATACTACATTAATGTTTTGGGTGGTAAGATTCTATTTTGATGACTAATGTTTGCAGATATGCATATAGTTTTTTTTGGCATTTACTACATTCTTATTGTGTATCATTAATGTAACATTTAAGATTATATAAGTATATTTTGTCATTTTCTCTATGCTTAGTAACAAATTTGCATTTTCAATTTGCTGTAATAAAGGCTTTAATGTAATTTTTATTAGAAGATTTTGCTTTTTTTCATTACTGTTATATTTTATCTAATCTGACAGAATGACAGGTTCTTATGTCATTGTATTAGTGTTGTGAATAATCATGTGAAATGTTTTGAGATAGAGTGCTATATTTGTGAATATAATTTTATGGCTTTTTTCATTTAGTAGAAACCTTTCCATCAGTATGGAAAACTAAGAAAATTGCTTTCCACTGTATAATCTGGCAGTCATCATAGATTAAAGCTTATTTTTCTGTGAATAAAACTTATTCAATAAAGCACTATTCTTTAAAATGGTACCATATTACTTTGTATTTATTTTACTTTCTCAGAAAAGCTGAAATAGCCTTCCTAAAAATAGGCAAATGAAACCCAACTATAACATATATTTTCTGCCATTGGACCAGGCATCAAGGTACGCGTCAAGTCATGGCATGTTAAAACAGACATCTGTTTTCATATTAATTTGTAGAATTCTGTCTGTGCATGAAAAGCACAGTTTTGAAGATGTATAAAAACATGAACTATAGTAACACCCCCTCTCCACAAAGATTGGCCTGTTTGTCCCAAGGGATCATATAGTCACCATAACAAATCTCGAACAAACCATTTAAATGCAGTCTACCTTTCTTCATACGTGTCAACTATACTCTCAGTGAATATTGATAAAGATGTGAATTTTCAAAGCTTTCTCTTACAGTTCAAGCCCCAAAGAAGACACCAAAAACAAAATTTTTAAAAAAGCTTTCTCTTACAGAAATTTTCAAACTTACACAAAAATAGAAAGGAA